ATTTGAATAAAAATAGTTTTTGCGAAGCGAGGCTATGCTGAATTCAGTGTAAAAGTAATGCATACTCATATAATTGCAAGTTTCTTTATCACCTTAAACGCAAAAGGGTGAATACATTTCATATATACGATCTACTGGTAGTCTCGAAAGCCTACTTATAAAACAAAGAATGACACCCTTGAGTAAATTTCTGTACAGCCGTTATGGCATCTCTCCTCCCTCTCTCCCAGCCCATAGCGCTCTATCCCCATCCCTTAGCTCTATTTATATGGCAACTTTACCCATCTATACGTTTACGTGTCATCGTTTGCTCCATGAGAGACTGGATTCAATGAGGCGTAAAACAGCAATAACAACAACAACACCAACAAGCGTCTTCATAACTCTCCTGAGATGGAGTTGGTTAATCTTCTTGACATGGTGTTAACTTGATGCTATGGATAGCATGGAATATGGAGCCGACGGTTGATTAAGTCTTATGAACTGAATCAATACACACACATACACACAGCAAAATCCGATGACGACCGAGTAACGGTAATGCTCCTTCATGTTTTGATGTTACCGACCCTCTAATCTCGGCATGAAAGTCACCACCTCGTGAATAAGGCTCCCTCTGATCATTCGGTGAAAGCCAGTTTCACTTTGTCTCTGGCTCCGTCTGGCCCGAGGGCCCAGATCCGAAGGCCGCCAGACCTGGGCTTTATTGGCCTGCCACTATCTCACTCGGCGTCCAACCCCTTTTGTCTGTCAGGTCGGGACTACCAACCAGGCCTTGTAGGGCAGGTGAAAAAGACAAAGTGACCGCTACCGTCCTCGCTCCCACGCCCCAGCCGCCTTCACTGCACTATCCTCTCGGCCGGGGCTCTCGCATCCCCTCGCTAGTCGGCATCTCGGCTTATCTGATCCCGCTCGCATGGGCCAGCCGGCCAGTAAACCAGTAGGCTAGTCATCCAGCCAATCAACTACCCAGCCAGCCAGTCAGCCAAACAGACAATCAGCCAATCAACTACCCAGCCAGCCAGCCAGCCAAGCAGACAGTCAGCCAATCAACGAGCCGTGTCTCGAAGCCGGAATAGTTCGAATCTCGTCGTGAGCGTCAGTTCGGACAGTCGTAACAGTGGCCGTGCAGCTGAACCAGCCATCCGATCGTCGTCTGGACGACTGGTTCGTGGTCAACAGCGCCACGTCGGCTCGTCGACCCACTCAGCCAAGGGTGGCTGTAGCAGCGCACTCTTGGAATTCGCCTGAGCAGCCTCTTCTGCTGGCATAATGGCAAAACTCTCAACACCTGCCCTCAG